TCAGATATAAGTTTCATAGCCTACTTATTACAGTTGATATAACTGGAGGAGTATACTCAAAGTATAATGAAATAAATTCATGATCGAAATATTAAATAAAATCTTTCGTGTCACAACACTTTCCCTAATAAATTATTTGGTTTGAAAAAAATTCAAATAAGGTAATAACACAACCCCCCCCCCTAAGATAACTCATGCTAACATGAAGATCATTGGCCTGATCATTGAAAGATGTAGAGACCAATAATAAACAAAATATGATAATGATACATAATTGGATAAAGGTCTGAAATTTCTCTATCATTTCGTTATCAGTTTCATATTGCAAGCTTTCCCAATATTCTTTCTAACTGGATTACTTGTAATTCCTTATATTAATTAAAATACATGGATTCTCGGTGATTTTTTCCGATAGTATATATACTCGAAAAATCAATATTTTGTTCCATAATAATTTTTAAGAAATAGCTAGATACTTATGACGATTTCGTCTGGTCAAGTCAACAAAAAATAGTACAGTGAATGGATTCCATTCAAATAAGTTCATTTCCAATTCATATAGCTGTACGGGATTTTAATTTTTATTATCCTCATCAGAAAACCAACTATAACATTCTAGCACTAAAGAACGTAACTAGGGGAAGTCATTTATCAAATGAAAGGTTCATGCTCATGTATGTCAATGATATAACGTAAAATAATCTCAAAAAGGGAAAACATAGGTTACTTAAGGTGAATATGAAATAAGAATTTGTAAGTAAAAAAAACTAATAAATAGTGATCTTTGTGTACGCATTACTAATATCATTGTATAGATAGCTTTGGTGGGTAAATAATGTCAAGATATATATATCCTAACCAGAATTCGTTTAGCTGTTCTATGGTTATTTCATGAGAAATGAGCACTTTTTGCAGTAATTTGGCAAAGAAAGGTATATCAATCACATCCTTTCTTTTGTAATGTGTACTATACTCAACCTTAAATGCAGTATTTGAAATCGATGGGACTTTGCTAAATATTTTTAATATCTTCACCTACACATGTATAAAATTGCTGAAACCTTAGAAATTTACATATTCAGATTACTTTAAGCCATATTTATAAAAAACAACCACTATTTTCTTTTAAACAAATAAGAGCTTCCATCCTCTACACTGGTATCGCTTAAGGCCAATCAAGACCACTGAACAAATTCTTCAGATCAACAAATAACTCTTAAATGAATTGCTTGCTTAACTAGATAAATTTTACAACTAATGTTCTGATCGTCACTTAGTGTGACGACATTTACAGATAAACAAGTCTTCATAATAATATACTTGAGAATATAAACAATGGCGAGTGTTGTTGACCGATCTACTGCGTAAACCTTTAAATTAAATAAAATTATAGTATTAAAATGTTAATTTTAAACTTTAGATGGATTTGAGTAATTTCTTGAACCATAAGAATACCATAAATTAAATAATATACGGTTATTGAAATTTACGAAAACATTAAAAAATAAAAAATACTCATAAGTGGAAAAATTTATAGACTATCATTATTATCACAGATAAAATATTACATTGATTTTGAAAACAAAATGGTTGGATCATAAAAAAACTACATAGAATATGACAACGGATCAAAGAGCGAAACTGATTAGATAAAGATATTTTTCAAGGCGATTCATCGATTAAAGTTATCAATCATAAAACGATACTAATACAGATTATTTATTTAATCGCAACATGTAAAAGACAAATTACAGACGCTAGTAAACATAACAACTAAAACAACTAGGGATTTCAACCAACCGTGTAAAGAACAGCTATTTACTTAATATTTCTTGCAAATACTAACTTTAAGCATAAGCAAAAACATCTTTTAACATGGCGACCCCCTAATTCGTCCCAACGTTGGACCCAAATAGATCACCGCTAACAGCCACCGATGGAGGGGCTCGATAGAAGACTGTCGCTCATTCTGGAGCACATGCTTAGATTCAGATCATGCTCTAGTGAGGGCGTATATTTGCCTACGTCTTACTGGACGTAGGAAAGACGCTGAAAAGGAAACCTCTGAGGGTCCTACCCTGAATGACATGGCTCAAAATCGTTTGCAATGGTACAAGTGCAGCCACTCTTTGTGTTCTCCCAAATTCTAATCTTCTGAATTATTCATGTCCCTTTTTTTCTCTTTCCAAATTTATTTCACTGTATTATACTCCTTGAATAACATTTTCAAGCCCTCATGTTTCCGATTACCGCTTATACTCTTACCACCTCTACCACTACGGAATTCGAATCGACAACTGCATCTCTGTGCTAATGCGGTATGGTATGGCAACTCGAACTGATGTACGTATGTACGAAGTTCTACGTTGTTACTGACTGAGTGACTGAATATTTTCACATCAATAGTCAAAAAAAAATTGTTGTAGACTTACTCCAAAGAATAATAAAAAGACAGGTTAGAAACTGGAAATCTGAAACATGCTTAACATAGCCATAGTATGGGAGACTTTATTGGTCAAGAATTACAACAAAAGCCACAATGTGGAAGTCTGACAATTAAACACTGAGTCCCTTCTTGAAGCCGTAAGGATTCATTGAATAAGGGTCAAATTCTAAATGCTAAATGATATGATTTTCATAGTGGGACATTTTCCATAATTTTTGTTAATGGAGTAATTAAGGATGTTATGTTACGTAATAGGTCGGTATGTAACCAATGTAAGAACAATTATATATCTATAAGTCTGTTAAGTTAACTCGTAAGAGATCCGAGGATGTACTTTAAACTTCATTTACATACTACGATATATTACCCCGATATTAGAGAAAGTAATACATGAGTTATCTGTAATCCAATAAAAAAGGACTTGGTTAAGTTTTCATAAACCAATGGAACCGCATAAAATTTCTAATCAAACAAGTAATTGGTCATAAATTTAGTTGGTGATTGGCTAGAAATGTTATAAGAATAACACTTTCTGAGGAGTTTACGTAAGGGCTCATATGAAATGGAAATTGTATTTGTAAGGGTAATATGGAATGAATGGTGAATCTTAGTTCTGAATATTGATTTCGATAATTGCAAGCGTTTCTACTTTATTATTGCATCAAACCTAGAGGAATTAAGTCAAATAAAGTTGCCGACAGTATATAAATGCTAGAAATTGATCTAAGACAGTATCATTCAAGAAAGAGATTAATTATAAGTGGCATAAGCATCCGCCCATGTTGTGGAGTAGGAATCAGTTAATTCAAGGCAAGTAGACTATACTAGAACAAACAAATAGACTGGATAAAAATTGGTTGGCTAGAAAAACTTCGGGGCAGAAACTGATTTGTAAACCCAGAATACGCAATACCACAAATATATTTTGGGAATAGTCATAATTGAATAGTTTGTTGGTGTAAAGTTATATTCATAAGTAGTGCAAACGATAGTGATTCGGTGTTCTATAAAACACCAACCAAAATTACTAGAAAACCACTCAATAATAACAAACATTGCATTAAAAATTATGCTGCTTTATTCTTATAAGTGTAGTGAAAAAAGATTTAAATGATGGACAACTTCAGACACTATGAAACAAGATTACTAAAATAATGAACCAGGATGTTATCGAAATGAAAAACAATAATAGAAAGATTGAAGCTCTATGAGGTAAACGTAATTTAAATTTCTGTGGCAAATATTAATGTTCAAACTACGTGGGTATTTTCTTACCCAATTATCAATGACACTTCATTTACTTTGCGAGTAACAACTTAGGTAAACAATAGTATGAGTACATTGTGCAATTTTCACTTGAGAAACAACTTCGGTAGACTAGATTATTATTATACTTAAATGCGACTACTGGGTGAAGATCACAGGAAACAGTAGATATTACTTTATATGCTAAATTAGAGAAGTGTCAAGATTTTATAGTCTACCAATCCCAAGATGAATGGGAAAGATATCTATACTATGACAACCGATTTTCTGAACCTTGTTACTTAATCTCTAATCATCGACTCCAAATCATTATAAATTTTAGACATTTTCTCGTTAATATACGCTTAGTTTTGTATTTTCTCTAATCGCGCCTTGAAATAAAAAAAACAATTATTTTTATACATACCCTGGATGATTAAGTCAGGTTTATGACACGAAAGTTCAAGTTGATGTAAGAAAATTTACCACTTAACATTTCAAAATAGATAACTCATAGCGAAACTCGATCATTAACTCAGTGTGTTTGAATTCATAGAATTATTAAAATATTTCATATGTTCAATTTCTTTTTCGGATATGTTGTAAATTGACAAAACACTAATATGGTTATTTTTCGTAACTCCAGAGAGAATGAGACTTTCTACTTGTCATAGTTGAACAAATACGAACATGGCCCAATGCAAGGGAAAAAATAAAGACCAAAGATAAAAACTTTATTATCCATCAAAAATAAATGCAAAACTATATATACATCAAATGATATCTGATTTACCTATCTAATCACTAGTCGTGTGTGAATACAATGAACTGAATAATACTTAACGTTACATAATTAACAACTTAATGTACATATACAATTTATAATATCAACTAAATAAACTACTTTGGTGAGCAAATATAACTAAATTGGTGGTTTATTATTCGCTTCTTACTAACAGCATATGTTAAAGATGGATATATGAATGGCTTCTGTTGCTTAAGTTAGGAAATATAGTAATGTAATCATACAATGAATCAACGCTTAATCGTTACTTGCAAAATGTAATAAAAGATTTAGGGAGATGAACTCAAAAGTTACTCTTTATTACATGAGAATTATGGAAAAGTAATAATGATAGGTGGATATTTTACGCCTTATTTATACGGACATTTTTCACCATAATCGAATTCCTGACATGGAAGCTTTTTATGTACCTTAAGATCTCGATCGAATAGAACAATAAACAGAAATGTCAATGCTTAAGAACTAGTTGAATTTGTGTACAAAATGCCAAAAATCAGGAAATTTTTAAAATTTGAGTTTCGACAGTTCCTTTTCCAATGCTTCTTTTTCAAGTTGTGGAACGAAACGATTTTCATCTAAGGAAGTATCCGTCTGTAATAAATTATAACTTATTAGCTTTAATAATCAAACGATACCTTTCCGATATGAATGTTAATCCCTGAAGATAAATTCTGGTAGATCAGATCTAATAATATTGGTAACTGAACAGCTCTCACACCCGATATCTGAAGAAACCACAAAATTAAGCAGAAATAAGTAGTGATACTCTATATATTCTTCGAAATTCAGATATTTCGAAATCTGACCGGATATTTGTCGAATTAGTATGATACAGTCGGTAGAGCTTCTTGCTGGGAGGCAGTGGAAAACTAATTTAAAATTAAGTGATTGAAAAGTAGTACAAACTTTTCAACTTCATAACCACAATTGATGAAAAACTTGTGAATGTATGAAGTGAACTTCTCTAGCTGCACGTAGTCATGTCCTCTTACATCAAACTGCACACTTTGATAAATATGAATAGGTGGTTTGACAGACTAATTCACCTAAATACATACTTCATCAGGAACTGTACTTACCAAATAAGGTGGATCAAAACTTTTTAATCTGATACCATAACTTCGATATCTATATGTGTGGAAGCTAAGTGATAATCAAGTCTTACCGATAGGCAATTCGCAATGGAATCCCTTTCGTGAGTATACACCTAAATGACTGCATGACTTTACTGTCCAATCTAGAGGGAAAGGAATAGTATGTACAAAAAAGGAAAAAAAACCCGTAGTATACTGTACAAATATACATAAACAAACTTTGTTGTGACAAAAACAGGAAACCATACCTGAAGTAATTAAGTAAACACGTAAGCCGCTACGATGTTCAACATCACGGGGAGTAAAAATGAAGTATGGAAATGAAAAAAGATGGTGATGCAATTTTTTCGTAGAATTGAACAAGCTGCAGTGTATTATACTCTGCCTTCGGTTGGCGAACAAGTCTCGCTTATGCTAAAAGTGACTTAAGCCAGTAAAGACCGATAAAAACATTTGGATCCGTGCTAGGATTTTACCACACACTAATACAAAACAGTTTATGAGGCTACCAAGATAAGTGAATTGGTTGATTCGCTCAACTACTTTACTCTCTATCACTCGATGTTGACGTAGACCAGTTTTGAAACAAAATTATACATCCAGAGGGATGTATTTCATATATACTGAATTGATGGTCAAGGCGATCAAAAGACTACATCCTATCAGCATTTCCACTTAACGGAACTGTCACCTGCCCAATATAAGTCAGTAAGTTAATCAACTGACAAACGATCTATCCCTCAATAGTGATTATCAAAGAGAAATTCATATTTCTAAATGCATCACGACGTTTGAGTTAATTATATGTAACCATCTACTTACGAATTTCTGTACGCATGTTAAAATCATGGAAGAAACGGTACAGCATTCTAATACTCTCAGTTGCTTTTAACGCTGATGGACTAGCCGGAGACGAGAGTAAGTTAAGAATTTAGTATACATTTACTAACGAACAGACTTATCAGCACCAAAAATATATCTACTTGTCGTTTATGAACCAATGATCTGAAGACATGGGTAGATAAAATCCAATTAGTCTATGCTAAGTGGTGTAATGAAATAACTTTTCACTGCAGTTAAGACAAAACAAGATGATACCGTTTAAAAATAATAAATAAGTTAAAACAGCATCAGATAAATATTGTTGGGACATGCATCAAATTGTAAGAATACAATAACGTACGCTGTTCTTTGAAAATAGTCGAAATATGACATATTTATAGTAAGCTACGGCAATAACTTGAAAATCACTAACAGAAAGAATGGGTCACATGAGTATTATTAGCTGTGATATATTAACCTTCAGATGATATGAGTTGAAAACCGACCCTTTAGTGAGAAACACAAATGTCTTAACCTTAAACAAAAGCCTAGTAGCGGCCGTACACGAACAGATTGGGAGAAATTGATGACATCGATTTCATTTAACAATAGAGACGATACAAACATTTCCTGTTTGTAATTATACTATCAAATCTTTTGGCGTTGCAAAGACATAGCATAAATGGACCGACACAGGACTACTTTGTAAGAAAAACTAACGATGTGAGGATTTCGTTGTTCAGAAAACCAACATGAGATAAAGGCACTACTAGACTCAAATGATAAGCAAAGATTTAAGCCAGTGTGAATAATTGTCAGCCGTCGACACGAACCATATTCGTTAGGCATAAGCACAAAATTCATGATCTCAGGAGTTTGATTTATTTACACTCCTAGAAAATAAGCACAATAAAGTCTAGATAGAAAGCTTCATAAAAGACACCCCACATACATAGTCATTCAACTTAATACAATACAAATATATTGTAGTCCTATGTCAGCGTTGAACTAACTCCGCTCGCAACTTCAATCGCGATAACAAAGCAGGAACGTTCTCTGGACAGAGAAACATAGAGTAAGTTTGGAGATGAGCTAATATTAAATTAAAATCTTCACAAAAAATGAAATTCTTCTCTGGAGAGTAGCATTAGAAAGACACTTTAGTTGACCGCTGATGGTTTATGGATTTGTGACTCATAAATTATATATATTTGAAAATGACAATAAATTTCTAGATTACAAAAACATTTAGTCCACTAATGACAAAATGGTCAACATAACATAAACAACCAATAATGATTCGTAACACTACCTACAAACTCTGCGCAATATAGTTCAATCCCCATTCAAATCTTTTAAAATATCTATGAATATCTTGTCAAATATAATTACGAAAACATTATATCTCAAGTAGTTTTCGATGGCTCAAATTGTTCATAGGGTCCTGGGTGGAACAGAAGCTTTCGCTTAACGGGATTTCGTATCTAGCAACAGTGGATCAGAGATACCTTCAGGCAGGAACGTGATTTTTTTACCGACAAGAGAGGAAAAATTAAAAAAAGGTGGGAAACCATAGTAAGATACTGCCCATAGTCCTTGAGAATATGTTAAATATTCTCTTCAATATCTCCTCGGTAGTTATATGGACTAGCTCAACCGGCTGCGAATTCCAACATTTGACAACTCTTGAAGGGTAGAGGGTCCGTTTTGCTGAATTGTGCCTCCAGTTTCTTGTTGTTATCCCTAATTTTTATGTTGGGACTAAGCTTAAGTAAGTGTTTGACGGGATGACCAGAAGTATTTAGTGTAGTGCCACTGGAATGTCACTGAGCCCTAGTCAAATCATACGAGAGTTTGTGTCACTAAACATCGAACAAGTCATCGATCCCTATCAAGGTCAAGGATACCCAACGCGCATCAGTTAATCGTGTGCCGTGGACTGGCCGGCACGGACTGGCGGGTAAGCCACGGATTTTCGCGCACACGTTACATATTGTCGTGGATTTTTTGTGTCGTTATTTATCAGCTATTAACAGGCTTTTTTTGCATGACACATCAATTTCTGTATTGCTAGTGCTTGTAACATAGTTTTTATTCCAATTTATTGGCAGTTTGACGTATTTCTTGCTCACCACGTAAGTAAATCTGAAGTTAGCTTAATATAGTTATTTGTAACAATACAAACTCAAGCAAGTAAAGTTCACCGTGTTTCTAGTCAAAAAATACATCACAGATTGAGTTTTTATGAAAATGAACCGTAAAATCTTTTACATATGGTTCACCTCCTTGATTGCGGTGACGGTGAACATGTATGTCGGTAGTTGTTTATAAATTGTAAGTAGAAGCAATCAAGCGTTAACCTAATTGTGAATATTATATAACTTGTTTGTATTTAGCCATAAAAAGTTATATCCATTAGAGGTACCATTGTTTTGTACTGAAGTGACATAATTATGTAACGTATTTGAGAAAAAAATTATGGCCCATGCGGCGGTGGTCTTACTTTCGCTTGTATCTACCTTAACCAAAATATTTTTGTAACCACGTCCTCTGTGTTATACGGTCTTCGAAGCAGCCATAGTACTTCGATATGTCGAAGGATTAGCCCACACTAGATGCTGACCGCGGGGTGTGACTTCGGAGTTAGCTTTTTCGTCACACCAATCGCGTCCAACTCGAGTAGACCTCCAATCACCCGAAAATGATCATCTGCATTGGTGGACTACATTAGGATACTGTAAGCCATTGAAAGGTCACCTCTAAGATGCCTGTACTCCAATGTGTAAAGGTCTAGTGACTGGAGGCGCTCTTTACAAGGCTTGAATTTTAGTCCTCGAGCTGATTTCATGGCTCGCCGTTAGTATGTTCCAGAGTGTCCATATCTCTTGGAGTGGGGGAGTAAATGCTGGTTCCGTACTCTAAATGGGACTAATAAAACTGTCAAAGATTATGTGGAAAGTTCTTCTGTAGAACTGGCCAAAAATGCGCTTCAACGTTATCAGTGCAAAGGCACTTTTGTCGCAGTTAGCGTAAGACTTCAAATCATAATGCACCAACACAAATAGATATTTTTTCAACTTGAGATACCTCAAGAGGGGGAGTTGCCTAAGTTGTGGTTGTAGTCTGTAGCATGCCTCAGAAGGACTTCTTTACACTTTGAAGTGTTTGAGCTTACTGACAAGACATATATGGTTGGCCATATCGAAAACCTTTGAGAAGTCAAGGTAAAAAGTGCGCTAATTAAAAGGATAATGGAATTTTTCCTCTCTGAGTAAGTTCTATTGTTTTGATCGTTTATTACGTACCAAGACTACTGTCTTCACTTTAATAGAATTTATTTCAGTTAAAGTATTCGATTAGAGTGACGTTTCTGTTTTTAAAGAAGTTTGTCGTCGGTACTTTTGAGTACATGGTATTCTACTGTATCTGTTCGTACATTACGTTCTAGCAATCCACAGCTTTTCACTTTATTTTTCGTAGATGATTTTTGTCTCTGAATGTTATTGTGTCTAGTATTTTTAAGGAAATAGACCCTTGTTTAATGACAGCACAGTGAAAAAAAGCTAATAGCCTGTAGAACTACAGTCAACTATGATATTAGTACTGCTCTAATAATAGACCTAATCCTAAATTTGTAGATTTGTCATGATATAACTGCCTAATCTATAAGATCTTACGTGGAAGTCACACCATCGACTACACCAACTGACTGTATCGTATCAATTACCAACACATGATGTAGAACAAGGTTAGGCTAGAGAAAGAACAATATATTTAATATGAATAGAAGATATAAGGTAACATTCAGCAGAGACCACGCCTGCATGGTCGAGCCATGCCACTCGATCAACTCCAGTCCATTCAACTCATTGTTCGCGCCTTCCCCATCGTTAGGTATTTATCCGCGTTAAATATTGAATATCTATTTTCTGAGTAGTCTCGTGTTCACAGCTTTGTGGATTGCGTGGCTATTGTCCAATGCCACTACACTACTCTCCCACCAGAATCAACGTGATGTTGGTTCGATACCAAACTGGATGGGATCGTCGCGCGCCGGAGGTTACCAAGGATAATAAGAATCCTCCGGGTATTGGTAAGCTGAAAGACAAATCAAAAAGAAAGCGGCAGCATCTGGTCGGAAAATACATGTAATAATTTAAAAATATCTGCCTTCATGCTTAAAACGCTTGAAATGGAAATTTGGGTGAAGATTATTTGAACTATGAAGAATGGCATAACAATAATAATAATAATAATAAAACGATGCGTGTTAATAGCCGTTGGTTAATAACTTAACGTATAGGTAGTAAGTATTTTGTGTTTAGAAATATTAAAGTGATGGATATTGTAGAAATGTTAATATTGGTATTAGTTTCGGTTTAAATTATGAAATCAAATAACGTTTATGCCGATAAGTTGTCCACATGAGTTGAATTCCAATTGCATATGTATTAGTAGGCTAACTGAATGAACAAAAATATTAACGTGGAGAAGAATTCCAACTAGTGTTCCAGTTAGTTTGATACGCTTTATTTAGTTACGGGGAGATTTTCTCAATCTCATTTTTACTTGACCGTGATAGAATTTAGTAATACTACTAATACACATGAATGGCTATCAAAATAAAATTTAAATACATGAGTGATGATTATATGAATTTTGGACAGATAGCTAGGAACAAATCGTTGAACATGAGTGTATTCGTAAGAGACATGCTCTGGACTCAATGTTCTGATCTGCGGCAGACTATTAATTTATATTTATACTTGCTGGCTGATTGGGCATACAAGTTAGTTGCAAGTATGCAGTTTATCATAAGGCGGAATACGATTTAATTGAGATATAGTGGTTATAAGTTATTGAAATCAGTTAAGCTTATGTGTCATATTACGAAGTGATGTGGTGCTGCAAGATGTATTTAGCTAAATAAGTTTTTACAAGATGATTAATAGTGAGTGATGCTCATTTGATTATCAGAGAGAACATAAGTTGTAACGAGGGGGAGTACACTCCCAACTGATGTCTATGATAATGGCTTGAACCTTAGTCAGTGTTAGGGTAAATTCGACATTGATGTTTTCAGTTTGTAGGAGGTTTGCTCGACTGCTTATACTGATTATTTGCATGCATGATTGTGTCGCTAAACCATCAATTAGACTGCCAAGGTTTTGAGATATTTACTGAATGAGCAACTGATAGAGAAACATACTGTAATCATCTGTAGTGAATGAAGACAAAAGAAAAACAACAATAGTGATAATTATAAGTCAATTAGCTGACCGATTTTGTTAATAATTCCATTAATTTCATCAATCATATTACGTGATTGTCAAGTTGTGACAATGCTTTATGACGAAATCCTGAAACCATTACGTTTAACTAGTTATAGTGTTGATTGAGGATTAGTCAGTGGAAAAGTTGGTATTGTTGCTTTAGGTGATTCGAAATCATCAGAAATTTATAACGTTAAAGAATCCGAGACGCCTAATTTAATCATAAATTTCAATTCAGAAAGATTCGTTTAGTGTTAATTCTAGTAGGCTACGGAGTTTTGATTTGAAACGTTTGTTTAGCCAACAGCTACCTAGGGATTTAGTTATTTTACTACTGCAGTTGATAGTACCTAAATTTTTAATCTTATTATCTAAACTATGTTCGTATTTTAGGCTGCTAATGTGATAAACCAATCTATAAACCCAAATACGATTGGCAACAACGACTATGATGGGTTTATTGATAAATGTTAAAGGCGATCCAGATGATTTCTAAATTTAGAAGAACTGGAGATATAGTGTAACGTATGTATGGGCCAGGTTAACATGCAGGTTGTTGACGTATATGACGATTTAAAAACAATGAACATGACCAGAAAATAATTTCAAAGTTTAGACCGCTTGTGAAACTTCAGACAGGAATATGATGCGTTATAAACATTCCATAAGAAGTTACTGCATTTAGCCTAGGGACACTTACAAATATATGGCAAAAGGAACGGGAAAACATATACATGTTAAGTAAAAAAAATCATTAAGTAAAATAGTTGAACTCGCCTGGGTTATTTTTGAAAATTATATTATTCAGTGGACAACATATATAACGCCATTCGTGACTAGTAATGATCCAAAAGTATCCAGAATAAAACATGCAGTATGGCAATTAATTCCAGGGTCCTTGATGCTGTTGACGTTTTTGCCACTCGCTCGGATCAGACAACCGAATGAATCCAGATAATTGTGCGGTCACCATTGAACGAGCCATCTAAAATGACCTTATGATTGCAGAAAACTTATGGCTGAAACTCACCGTATGTTTT